TTTTGTTTCAAGCAACAAGACTGACAAACAGTCTTTGTCTTACAAGCGGTCGGGCGTGAAGCGGACGTTGGGTGCGATGATCAGGCTGTGCAGGTTCAACATGACAAATCCCATGGCAAAGGACAACACATGCGCAAGATTGCTGAGACCAAGAAAAATGCCTATGTCGGCAGGGTTTGGGATGGGGGAATTAAATAAGTGGTCCATATGTTTGATGTATCTCTGGAGGGAGGGTCCCCCATCTAGCCGACCGTGAACGCATATGTCTGGCCATTCAATCATGAGCAAATGAGGTTTGTCAGCTGATTGCACGCTGCTCTTGCTTAAACCCGAGCCAATTCAAAAACAGGTTTCCTGCAAGCAAATCTTTCAAAACGATACATGTTGTGGTATGTATACGTGTGTACATATATACATAAATATGTATATACATGTTCAACTTGCGAGGGTTGGGATTAAAATTGAAAAGCCCTTTGTTTTTTCGCACAACAAACCAGCCAGAAAGCAATTGGAGTAATCAATGGCAAAACCCCAGGCTTGAAACGATCCGACTCTGCAGCCCGGAGCTCCGGAAGGTCAAGCTGCCCTTGAGGACTCTCAGGTACCCCCGTGGCTCCTCGATCCGTCGATCCCACACATTGCGCCATTGAAGGGAACATGCGTGAAATGGCCGTGGAAGATCTTCCAACGGAAAATCTAAGGAGCCTCGCATAACGTAGACAACACCTGCAGAGAAGTCAGAGTAACCACATGGATGATTGCGCAGGCCTGCATGACAGTGGCAACAAAAACACGGTAATACTGGAACAAATCCTACATCGCGGGGGCACACAGCCACGGAACCATTTTTTCTTGACAGTCAGGGGAATCACTCAAGCTGTTGAGGCCTGGCTGCGTAGCATTCGCAAAACGTAAAGCCTTGATTGCGTGCGCGATGCGCATATTTCCTGTGAGGGCAGGCTACCCTGACGAAAGTCCCCAGGCACCCTGTGCAAAAGGGAAGTAGCCTTCTCTGTGCAACTAGCATGCTTTTTGGGGCAAGATGGGCAAGTCGAACTGGCATCAGTGTCTTGGAACCCGACGAGGATCACAAAAGCGGGGCAAGGGGCCACAAGCTCTCTTCTGGGATAGGTGGCGGTTCACAGAGTGAAGCCTCTTTTCCGATTTCAACCCCAAGGCCCAAACATCAAACATTTGCATGAATATGATCAGCCTACCGCCTCCATCACACAAAGTTGATTGCTTTCCAACAGTACGAGAACAACTAGGTTTCGGAAATTGGGTGGGCCCGCAAACTAAGAGGAATACTGCTGGTAGCACGGTAGGCCAGGAATACTGCTGGTGATTCCTTGGCAAACTGCATTTGGGCCGATAGAAACCGTTTGCCGCAGAATGCGGGGGTCTGCAGCGATAGCTGAAGTGATAGATTTGAGACCAGAACCAACCGCAAACAACCAGGATCAACAGAACCTTTTGATGCAGCTTTCTGTTTCCTGGTCTGTGCCGCGCGAGACAAGCAAACTATCCATGACTCACGCAACCTGAGGTCAATTAGGATACTCGTCAGCGGATTACTAATGCGAGTGAGAACTGTTGCCACAAACAGTACGTATGGGCCATGAGATTCCAATTATCTGCCCGTTTTGCCAGCCCACAACGCCATCCCCAAATGCAACATCAACGAGTTTCTCATTGAGTCCTTGAACGCACAATCGATGAGGACAGAGACATCGTGATTTGCGGCCGCCCTTTCAACGGAATCAATCGAGCTCTTTCTTCCATACTCTAAAAGCCTCAGATTTAGCCACCCTTTGTCTTGACCCCAGCAGTGGTTTTCTTCATCTCCTGCTTGAAGCAGCTTCCTTCTTTGACCCAGCGCCAATACGGCTTTCGGAGCCGACGGCTCGTGCAATCGAATCCGACACGCCTTGATCTTGAGGCCGCCGCCGCGGCGGGCGGAGCAGTTGCTGAAGGTGAAGTATCCCCCGACTGCCACGTCCATGCCCTCGACGTACATGCCTGCATGTGCGTAGACCCGGCGATCCTAAAGGGAACCGGATAACTTTTTTGCCTTTGAGCTCTTAGCGGGGAGGCCACCAAACACTAAAGGACGGCTGTCCCGAAAGCATTGCTTCCCAAGATTTTTGGGGAATCGTTGTTTCAAGCACACGCACAAAACCCCGCAACGCGCAGAACATGCCCTGCACGCCGCTTGCCGCTTGCGCTCTGCGCCAGTCTGTGTGCACAGGTTGCTCTACGCAAGTTCTCTGCTCAAGTCCCTCTGCGCGAGTTGCTCTGCGCAAGCTGTTCTGTGCATGTGCTTTTGTGCACATTCTCTGTGCAAGTTGCTCAGCGCACGTCGCTCCGCTCTGCGCCAGTTTCTCTTCCGCAAGTTGGTCGACGCAGGTTGCTCTGCCAAGTTGCTCTGCGCAATGGTCCAAGGGCTCCGCGCAGCAAAACCCTTTGCGATGCTTTCGGGCGAAAAGCCTAAATGACTGCTGGCACATTTGATGACTTTAGGGGCTGCATGCTTGCTGAAAGCCTAGATTTGGAGAACTCAACTCACCACGCTCTCTTTTTCTCTCTGCCATCAGTTTAGACCGCTAGTTCGCTGCATGTGTTTTGAGCTGGCCAAAGAAGCTGAGCCGGCGCCAGTTTTTGCCTTGCTTGGTCGTCTCACTTTTGGCAGCCTGAAGCCTGACGCTTGCTACCCAGAAGATGTATGCTTGTCAACGTTCTCTCAACATCAAAAGCGGTATCTGCTGCGATGTTTGTAAGTTCACGTTCATATCTTTTGGCGAGCAATGCATGGGAAAGCTCGGCGCCGTTGTCCGCCAAACGCAGAGCGCGTGTGGAATTGCTCTGCCCAACTTTTTCGAATGTTCTGTGCAAGTTGTTCTGCGCAAAGAGCATGCGCGCACGTTGCTTTGTGCAAGAAGCTCCGCGCAAGCTGCTCTGGGCAAGTTGCCCCGTGCAAGTTGCTGTGTTCAAGTGGCTGTGCGCCGATGGCTCCGTGCAAGAAAGTCGCTCTGTGCACTGTGCACGTTGCTCCGTACAAGCTTACCTGTGCAAGTTCTATCTGCCTGTATCTGCAGGCATTGCGCTCCGTCTGTACTCGAAAGCTGTGATTTTGGAGAGCGTACTTCGTGCACTGCTTTTATACGATGTTCGAGCTCGCAACACAACGGGCATCCTGAGTCATCTGCCTTTTGTGCCATTCTTTAGCAAGCCCTCAATGCCCCTCCCGAAAAGACCATAGACTTATGTTGTTTTGACAGAACCCAGTGTCAAGCAAGCTAACAAAGATTCTAGTCAAACATCCGACAAGGCTTGTCAGATGGCTGCACTGTAAAAGTATTGCAGCTTTCAACGACACCCAAAGGAGTCACACAATGGCACCAAATACAAGAAAATTGTTCAAGAGCAATAAGCTTTCGGAAAAGAAAAAGGGAAGAAACTGTTTTCCCCAGAAAAGTAGAGTCTCCCTAAAATCCTAAAATCATCGCCAACCCTGCCCGTCGCCCAGCCGCCAGGAACTGTGACCCGGTTTTCTCCAAGCCCAAGCCCGCCTTGCTGGTCATTGTCATTGCTTCAAAATCCCCAACCCGGAAACAAGTCCGCACCCCAAAAATCGCAAACTCTTTGTCTAGGCCTTCTTGAATAGAGCCTGGCAAACAAATTGTCCAAGGGAAGTACAGGTCCAGATTCTTGCTCAAAATTAAGAATTGGACAAGGGTACTCAAATTCAGGCAAGACAATTCCCCAGCAGACAAATCCCAATAGTAAAACAATACTAAGCCGCGAAGAGGACCGAAGAGGAACACAGAGGGCCGAAAATGATGAAATAAGCCAATGCTAAGCCAGCAGCACTAAGCAACAGTGGTTTTCGCTTTTGGGTCCCCTCAAACTGTTTGAGGGCGGTCCCCCCTTTACTAATCAGTGACATCATGCTGGGCAGCCTCCATCATCTGAGACTCATTCCCAGGTCCACTTGTGACAGTCGCAGCAAAACACGCACTACCCATCCGCTCCTCCTCCCTTTTCCCCTGCGTGGCAATCCGAGAAGGTGAAGTTGCTGTCACGTAGCCGTACCTTTTCTGGTGTCAGCCAGTCACGGCTCACTGCTGTCCCTCCCAAAGAGCAAAGCGGTAAACATTTTGCAACGTGCTCCAATAAACACGGTAAAACCACCGCAGTAAAACGGCAAAACGGTAAAACGATTCTACCACCCCAGTAAGCGTTAAAATGGGTTTGCCCTTTTGCAACTTTGCCGTTCTACCGAAAATGTGAGAAGCGGACCTGTTGGCGTCAGCCCGCTGCAAAACCAGCTTAGCCTGCTGGAGAGGTTCGTTCTCCAAGGAAATCTACATGCAACACAGCATTCACAGGTCTGAGCGGGCGCGTGCTTACAAACTGACCACGCTTTCATTGAAGTCCTAGCCCCTCCTCGATTTCCCGAACTGGATTTTGGCCATCTCCTCGAACTCTGAAGCCCAGGCACATCGTCCTTGATGTGGCGTACATTGACGCCACCCCCGAGGTTTGCGCGGCAATTCTTGATGTTCCACTGGCCCCCGGACACATCCACCTTGCTGCACCGTGGGACATAACCCTAGTGACCAGAGCCCATCCCCCAACTAGTTTCGTAAACCCCATTTCCCATATTTGCCTTTGGAGGGTACACTCGTCACCTTTCCTCAAGGGAAACCATTTCAGGACTTTGAGTCACTTGCCTTGGTGTTCACGAAGCACAGCGCACCCCCTTCGTTTCGCGCGCTGCAGCCACTGATGTCCAGCTCGCCGCCAGTTTGCTTAAAACCCATCGTAGAAGTCATGGACAAGCCGCCGCCCGATGTGGCCGAGCAGTTGTCCTCAGCGGCGGTTTCCCACAAACGGCGCCCTTTTGTCATCTGGCTGAAACCATCTCAGTCCCAGAATCTGACAATCAAATGTGTGTGTGTGTGTCAGCATCTAAATCGATTGATGTTCGTGACGGAAGCAACTGGCAAATCTCGAGAAACTTGAAGACCCCCTCTCGCCCGGGCCCGGAAAACAACAACAACAACGACGACGAGATGAAACAAGCTGGGTGGCCATACGGAGCGTGCCGCCCGAAACCACTATGTAGGTGCCTGTCTGCATTGCCAGCCCGCCTCCCTGGCCCTTGCCCCAGCAATTTTCGAAGGACATGAGGCCAGAAACCAGCTCGATCCTCGGACACAGGTAGCAAGGGTCGATGAAGAGTGAACCAACCTGAAGCTAAGCTGTGTTCAAAGTAACTCAAAACGAAAACCTACGCTAAGAACACCCCCGCAATTCAACCAAGATATTCTCTGGCAGTGAACTGGAATCTTCGGTTGCGCTTGTGCTGTTCTTGACGGTGGGAACCATTGGGCCCTGCGCAATATGACAAAAAATCCGAATATTGATGTGTCAAATGCAACCACGGCAATCCAAGCAGTTCTGGAATCCGGCATATAAAAAGCAAGTGTGTGTGTGTAATATATATCCGCCGACCCCTTGTCCGCAAGGGCGAGGCGCACGGGAAGGGTGGATACACATCTCGAGGGATCAAAGCTTGGTATTCCGGCCTCATGGACATCATCGTCACCCATCATCATCATCATCATCATCATCATCATAATGGTCATCATCGCCCTCATCATCATGGTGTCCTCATCCTTATCATCTTTATCCTCACGATCATCATCATCTCTTATGAGGCAGCATTGGTAATGCGTCACCCTTATCAGCAGCATCGTGATGGTCATCATCGCTTTTCATCATCATGATGGTCATCATCGCGCTTCATCATCATGATAGTCATCATCATCTCTTTCATTTACATTTATATCATCATGGACATCATCGTCACCCTTATCATCATCATGATGATCATCATCGCTTTTCATCATCATGATGGTCATCAGCGCCCTTCACCATCATCTCTTTCATTAACATTTTTACACATTTCAAGTGCGCCGTTTGGCAGCATTGGTAATGCAGAAGATGCTACGATGCTAGTTATCATGACAGTCCTCATCCTTATCATCATTATCCTCACGATCATCATCATCTCTTATGAGGCAGCATTGGTAATGCAAAGGATGCTACGATGACAGTCGTCATCGCCCACTTTCCATCAGTTTCCAGCAATTATCTACAATTGTCCATCCATCTTCCATCCATTTTCCACCAGTTCCATCCCTTCCATACATTATGCATCCATGCCCCAGCAATGTTCCACCCACTACCACAAGCTGCCATCATTTTCCATCCATCGTCCATCCATTTTCCATGATTGTTCCATCCATTGTCCATGATTTTCGTCCGTTCATTTTCCATCCATGTTCCAGCCATTTCCCACTCCCGTCCTGTCACTTCATTTTCCGACAATTGAACTCTGTCATTTGTTTCATTGCCCTTCAGTCGCTTCATGTCATCTTGCTCAAAGTTGCCCGCGGGGCCCTTCCATCATTTGCTTTTCCGGCCATGAAAAAGAAGCTGAAGGACGGTCCAAGTAGCCCGCAGGGCGCTTTGAAGTTGTCTGCTTCTAGTTTGTTCAAATCGCGCCAGAGCGTAGCTCAGGCAGCGCCTGCCTACCCGACACAGAGTCGGTTTGCGCATGAAGCCGACAGAAGCCGAGTGAAGCCAAGGGAAGCCAGACACGCGCAGATTGAACAGACCTCGCGCTGCGCAGCGTCGCTGTGCGTTTGGCAGCTGTGTTGGCGCGGCAGCGCATATAGCTCCGGCAGCGCCTTAGCGACCGCAGAGCACAGCTCCGCGCGAATGACATGTCTAGGGGGCTCCAGGCGCTCGCCGCACTCACTTTGACAAGAGCGCTCGTGCCAAATCAAGCCGAGGAAAGCCGAGTGAAGCCAAGCGAAGCCAGACAACACGAGCAGACTGAAGAACCCACACCTGTTGACTTTGCGCTGCACAGTGTTGCCATGCATGTTGCAAGAGCAGTTTGGCAGTTTTAAGGGAAGCCGAGTGAAGCTAAGGGACGCCAGACAACACAAGCAGATTGAACGACTCGCATCTGTTGACCTTGCGCTGCACAGCGTCGCCAGGCATTCTGCAAGCGCAGTTTGGCAGTTTTAAGGGAAGCCGAGTGAAGCCAAGGGACGCCAGACAACATGAGCAGATTGAACAACCCACAGCCGTTGACCTTGTGCTGCACAGCGTGGCCATGTGTTTCGCCAGTTTTTCTTCTGGCGAGCCAGAGCGTAGCTCAGGGAGCGCCTGCGTATCCGACGCAGAGTCGGTTGTAAACGACTGAAGCAGAGGGAAGCCGGCGAGTGAAGCCAAGGGAAGTCAAGGCAAGCCAGACAACACGAGCAGATTGAACAGCCCGCATCTGTTGACCTTGCGCTGCACAACGTCGCCAGGCATTTTGCAAGCGCAGTTTGGCAGTTTTAAGGGAAGCCGAGTGAAGCCAAGGGACGCCCGCAGATTGAACAACCCACAGCCGTTGGCCTTGTGCTGCACAGCGTGGCCATGCGTTTTGCCAGTTTTTTTCGATGGCGCACCAGAGCGTTGCTCAGGGAGCGCCTGCGTAGCCGAGTCCGAGGCAGAGTCGGCTGCAAATGAAACAGAGGGAAGCTAGACAACACGAGCAGATTGAACAACCCACTCCTGTTGACCTTGCGCTGCGCAGCATGGCCGTGCCTAGCCCACAGCTGTTGTCCTCGCGGCACAAGCAACGTCCACACAGCACCTGAAAATGTTCGTTGCGCACGCAGCAACATGTTTCACACAGCAGCCACCAATAATGTTCGTCGCGCTTGCAGCAACATGTTTCACGCGGCAGCTCGTGATGAGGTTCGTCTCAGAAGCAGCAACATTTCTCACACAGCAGCTTTCAAAAACATTCGTCGCATTAGCAGCAACATGTCTCACACAGCAGCTTCTGAAAACGTTAGTCGCGCAAGCAGCAACATGTTTCACGCAGCAGCCACGTCGGACTAGCAGCAAAATGTGTCACACAACAGCCAGCGAGAACATTCGTCGCACGAGCTGCAACGGAGCCTTGTTTGGCGCATAGCTTTTCAGAATGGAAGAAACTAGCAACAGTAGGAAGAAAGGTCTACTTCACTACAAGCCTTTGGGTTGGCACCAGGTACTTGGAAACCAGCTCTACCGGGAAGCCAACTTTCGAACCATTTCAGCCAAGCAAAGCGCTTCTAACAAACCTGTCAATTGAGGGTTGTTTCAAGAGTGTTGTTTCACCTGAACGCGGCTTGTCTCTTTGACTGTAAGCCAGGAACAAATAATATGAAAACACCCTGGGAATTTCACATGTTTTGCATTATTGCTTACAAATGCAGGGCCGAATTGCGGTGCTTCTCTCGCAGCAGTTGCAGCTCGCTGCTCAGACTTGTCCAAACTGTTTGACAGCTGGAGCCGCGCATGAAACGCGCCAACAGGCTGAAGCCACATGCGCAGAGTCAAGCATCACACACGGTCTAGCGCCGGAAGAAGCTGGGCGCTTCTAAATCACTTGCGTGTCCGGCCATGGAAAAGGAGCTGCAGGCTGGTGACAGTTGCCCATGGGGCGCTAGTGTGCGGTTTGCGTCGGAGCAGAAGGTGAAAGAGCAGGAGCAGCGTATGGCGGGTGGGGCTGGGCACAGACCCAGGGGTGTAGTTGTGGCAGCTCCTGGCGATGGCTGGCGCCTCTTCCACGTGGCGAGGTGCGGGGCCAGGACTGGAGAAGGTGCTAGGCCGCGCTGTCTGCGTGCTGCTGCGGACATCTACTTGCAGGCGCTAGAGTGGCTGTGGGCGGCGCTGGCTGGACCAGATGCCGCAGCAATTAAACCAGCCTGCGTGCCACCGAGACTTCGTTCGACGGCGCGGTGGCGTGGAGGCACAGGGCTGGTGCTGTGGAGTAAGGTGCGGGCCGTGGTGGAAAAGCCTAACGGTCTGGACTCCTTCCATAGAACTGTGGGCGGCGCTCACTCAACAGTTCGACTTCGATGCTATAGTATGGAGCGGCGTCCCTGACACGAACTACGGGGCGCGAACTCAGACTCGCGTCACGGACGAAGAATGCCGTGCGGCAGTGGCTCGGCTCCCGACCGTGCTGCAGCTGCTGTCTCGAGAGATCGGCAACGTGGGGTCTGCTCGGGACCGACGCCGTGTCTCCGCAACCGTTTGAGGCTGTGGGTCAAAGGCGGCAGTGCAGCCATGTGGGAAGTGCTATAGGAATGCCAAGGCAGCCCAAGCGCATCCAGGCTCCAATTCCTCAGAGGCGGACGTCTGGTCCGAGCCAGAAACCAACAGTGACGTGCCCGTTCAGACAAAAACTGCGACAGAATAGACACGGAAACCGATAGTGTGCAGTCGTGGGACTTGCAAGACGCCAGCGAGCAAGCTGAAGAGAGCTCGGCCCGGTGGGGGTGGAATCCAGCAAGACGTGGCCACCCTGGAAGACACAGACATCCACCTCGCCAAGCAAGTGGCACGCCTGCTACGGGTGACGCCGCTGCTGCCGCCGCCGCTCCCGGCCTGGAGTGCCAGCATGTATGCGCCTGCCTCAGGAATAGTCTACCCTGCCGTACATTGTGCGTTTGCAGGCTGCGCTTGGTGCAGCGAGATGCAGCCGTGTCAAGAGGCCACGATGGAGCGTGGGCCTGAGTGGCATGTGCTGCGGCAAGGCGAACACGTGTCTGTGGGCTCACGTGCCACTGGGACAGCCTGTGTGCCGGCCAGCCAGGGCAGGAGTGGTGGCAAGCCAAGAGCCGGCACATGCGAGCCCTCGTCTGCTGAGAGGAAGCATCCGTGCCTGCTGCGGGTTGGAGTGTGGATCGGCGCACGATCAACTGGAACAAGCAGCGACCATACAGGCCACGGCAGAGAAACGGTTGCAACTGAGCAGCAAATTGCACTAAAACTTGGTGAGCACGAGCGACGGACCAGCATCAACAATTTCCCGACAAAACGTGCAAGGCGACGGATTTGAAACATGGGGGGCTACTACACCTCAAATACTCAGAGCCACGTACGCAACGAGCATTCGGCACCTTACAAGGCTGCACACAAGTTCGAGGAGACCTCTACAACGTGGGACGTTCAACCCACCAAGTCAAAACAAGAACTACTACAACATGTTGTTACAATTGCAACCCTGCTCAACGAGGCAGAGGAAACATCAACTACCAAAAGCAATGCTTGCCGCGATTGGCGCGGAGCAACGGCAATCCACAAGAGCAACAACAAATGGGCTAGCCTGGCGCACATGTTTGTTCACAGTGGTTAGAAAACAATACCCCCCCCCAACAACTTGAGCAAGGAACAGGACCGCAGCCGAGAACAATGACCAGCCAACACATCAAAAAATGCACGCGCAGATAAACCTTACCATTGTACGATGCAGCTAGTGTAGCAGTGCTCCCATTTTAACAAATGGGAAGCACTTTCAGTTTGTAACCGTTGTCAAAAACAATAGTACATCGCTAACAAAAGATTGACTAATCTGTGCACAAGAAAAGCGATCCTTCGAATCATTGGAGATAAGGCTCGAGGCCATTGCTGCATTGCCCGGGCCTCCTCTCATCGCTCCAAGCTCCGCGCCGCCCCCATAGGAATTCGAGAACGAGTTGCGAAAGGAGAGAGTCCCAGTCACCACCACTCTGCCCCACCTCGGCTTGCCAACCTCTGAGTGGATTGGCTTAATCTAAACTTTTAGCTGACCACTATTATCCCGGCAAGAGACCCCAAATAGTCATGGGTTTGATTTGACGACAGGTGGCGGCCCGGAAGCAAAGAAAGACGATAAATAAACCCCTGACACCTCTCCCGCCTGATGAGAAACTAAACAGGTCAATGTCCTTGCTCGAGCGTGGCTCCTGCAAGTTCTAACGAGCAAGATTAGCATCATGCTTCACAAACTCTCCTGTCAACTTCTCGCGCGTGCGATGCTGTGCCTTGCCGCTGCGCGCGAAGCTGTGCGTGATGTTGCGCACGATGCAGCGCATGATGACGCGCGCGCTCTGCAACCTCTCTTGCCAAATCTTCATGTCCTCCTTGAAAAACTCTCTTGTCCATATCTGCGCGCAGCTTGGCTGCTCAAGATTGTAGGGAGCTGCGGGAGCGCGCTTCGTGCGCTACTTTTGCGCTGACAAGTCGCGATTTTCAATTTTCTAGCTGGAGCTGCGGGAGTGGCAGCCGGAGCTCGGGAGCGCTCTTCGAGTACTACTTTAATATTCTACTTAAACTTGCCAATTCAATCTGGAGCTGCGGGAGTGCTTCGCGCACTACTTCTGAAAGGTTTCAATTTCCAAAGAACCCTTCGCGATGCTTTCGGGACAAAAACACGTTTCGCGTGAGACTTCCTGAAAAAACATAGCGCGAACCTCCGAGCGACGCGTCCCTGCCAGCAAAAGCCGAAAAATGCGCACGGCATCACAACGAGAGCGCACGCACCAGCGCGAACCCAATTTCGTGCAAGACTGTTGCGTCGAAGACAACTTTTTACACACAGGGCCAGCACGAACCCGGCCTTAACTCAGACCGTAAGAACTCCTTAGTGTAAACACTCCCTGGGGGAAAAAAACATAAAGTCCATGAACTCAGGAAGTGAGTTGAGCCTCTTGGTGGTTCGGAAAATCGGACAATCCAGCTGGTGGTTCAGAATCCACCGCCTTGCCGCCCCTTCCAAAGGTTCAATCGCCATGCTCGTGGCCGTCCTTGTAGCCAAGCCGCGTTACCTTCGCGCCACCGCCTCCGGTTCCCAAAGTATTGCCGTTGGACGCGCAGCCATCCTCAGAAGCAAAAATGCAGGCAAGAGATCTGCACCCAGGGAAAAGGGTGGCATCAAAGAGACAATGCATGAGAGGTTGATCCCTTTCCAGGTCGTGAAATAAACAAACAAACCAGACAGAGTGACAAACAGACTACGCTGAACATAAACAAAGAAACAAACAGATCGTGAGACGAAAAGAAAATCGAACAGGCAAACAAACAGGCAAACGAGCAAACAAACAGACAAACGGACGGACGGACAGACAAACAAACGACTGAAAAAGAAAGCAACAAAGACAGAAACAAAACAACAAAATAAAGAACACAATACATAAAATAAATAAACAAAGAGATAACATGAAATACATACACAATGAAATAACGAAACAACAAAATACATCAACAACGAAACATATCAAAACAAGATAAGCAACTAAACATATATATATATAACACGTGAAAGGAAGGTGGTAAGAAATCAAGCAAGAAACAAAAACAAGCCAGCAAGTAAACAAACAAACAAACAAGCAAGCAAGCAAACAAACAAGCAAGCAAACAAACAAACAAACAAAACACACAAAACACACAAAAACAAACAATCAATCAATCAATCAATCAATCAATCAATCAATCAATCAATCAATCAAACAAACAAACAAACAAACAAACACACACTCTCACACTCAATCAATCAATCAATCAATCAATCAATCAATCAATCAATCAATCAATCAATCAATCAATCAATCAATCAATCAATCAATCAATCAATCAATCAAGCAAGCAAGCAAGCAATCAGGCAGGCAGGCAAGCAATCAGGCAGGCAGGCAGGCAGGCAGGCAAGCAAGCAACCACACAGGCAAACAGCAAAACAGACAGACAGACAGACAGACGGACAGACGGACAGACGGACAGACAAACAGACGGACAAACGGACAGACAAACAGCCAGCCAGCCTACAAACATACGAACAAACAATCAAACAATAGCCGCAGCAGTCGTCAGAGGGGAACGCGTGCCCGGTGCGGGAGACTGGATTGGATGGGGAGGCTGCCAAAAGGAGAAGGGAGACTTGCGATGCCAACTTTTGAATTTCAAAAATCCTGAGAGGGACGGAGAAGGGAGTCTGAAGAGTCTGAAGGACTGGACCGAAGGAGTCCAGAGGCGCGAAAATCATGGAACCGTTCACGGCGACGCCATCCAGCACCTTGCCCTTTTGGCCCTCTGTGATCATCAGCCCGCCAGCGGCCAGCATGGCAGTGCACTCCTGGAAGATCATGGAACCCGCCTGTGCCAAACCGAACCCCCGCCCAGCAACTTGCACAATTTTAGTAGTTACATGTAGTTACAAATGGTTTTTCCCATTCTCAATATGTTCCTACTGCTTGCTCAGTGGGTTGAACAACTATGTACTGGAAGACGAGCATGGATACCCTTCCTCGAACAGATCTGGAAGCTGCCAGGAGGGCGTTAGAAGACTATTTTCCTTTTGGAAAGCGCCCAGTCCACTAGGGCATAAACACGTTGGGGTAGTGGGTTGGGATTGATTAGTCGAAAGCATCTCTGCCATCAGAAATTGCATGATCGGGCTAACTATGGGAACCTTTCTTGCCAGCCGAGTGATACATTTATGTCCTCCAACCATTTGGGAGGGTACGTCGGACCCGCGCTAAATCCCAGGTTCGCTCTCGTGGCATGCTTTTCGAATCCTGTGACTGTTTTGAGTTTCGCGTTACTAGCAAGTTGTTTGTGCCAGAAAAAAAATCCGAGCAAACATATTGGCTAACAAATCCGGGCAAACACATCCGGGCAAACGGTAGGAATTCTGTGTTGGACTGGTTCCTAAATTCTTATACAATTCCCTTAAACAAGAAAACAACACAAGGCGAAACAGTCAAGCAAAGGGGGTACCCCGCAGCGGTCCATAATTGTGTTTAATCTGACAATTTCATGGTTCGCTTTGGTGTCCAGCTTGCTTGGGGGTTGGGCATGGGCAATACTACATTAAGCACTGGAATCTGAGAGCAAGCCTTGGCAATACTTAATACTGTTTAATACTAAATAAAGTGTTCAGTCGAAACCAGACCCCTTTTGTCACTAAGGAGTGCCCCGCTGACTGTTGGCACTGGGGGGAGGGGCGGGGGGGGGGGGCGATTGAAGCAGATAGAACCAAGGTGAAAATCCATACCATTCATTGGTAGCTTGCCTAACGAGCACTTGGTGAAGCCTGGGCTTCAAAATTTGTCTGGAGCCTCCCGAGAACTTGCAACCAGAACCTCACTACTGGCGCTTCGGAGAAGATCAAAAGGAGCTTGTCGAAACATGCGGAAAAAACACAACATATACGTAATACATGACTGCTCTGTTTGACTTCTGGAATTGTTTCCGAGTGACCTGCGTTGTACATGCATCATAGAAGACCTGAACTGCATCCTCCAGCATCCATTGCTGGAAGCCAGTGACAAACACACCCTCCAGCCTGCCCGGCAAACGAACCGCTCAATTATGTGTCTTCCAACAACAAGCAGGCTTCCCAACAACGAGCAGGTTTGCCACGAATGTAAAGCACACGCACACAAGAACGCGCGTTCAATTCCCTTTCCCGCCAATACTCACTCTAGTATCCACCTGCATCTCCAACACAAATTGGTCGACGAAGACAACTGCTGCTGGGCCGGCATGGCCAGCTTAAATAAATTGCGACGGAGAGGAGTTGGACAGTCATGTCCATCATTTTGGCCATGTCTTAGCAGCTGCATCTAAATGACAAGGAATGGGCTTGCTGCCGGGGTTCGGGGATTAGGGGATTAGGGGATTGGGGGAGCGGGGGATCGGGGGATTGGGAGAGGTTGAGGGGCAATCGACTTCCTCGTATGAACTTTAGCATCACCCGAAGAGCCGGACTTGAACTTGAGCCCCCTCAGAAAATTGGTGAGAGGTGAATGGGGCTGGGCAACCCCACCCAGCGTTCAAGCACGGCTGTTCGGACAGACAGTCTCCGGACACTCCAAGTGGGCGAGCATGCAGAGGTACACATGGCATGAGCCACAGCCTGATCAAGCAGCCATGCCGTTCGTGACTGGCTTCTTAGGAGACACCCTCACTGCATTCCCGACCCCTCACACCTTACCCCTTTGTGGTTGGGGATTTGGCTTGGGGTTCAAACACCACTCTCCACTTCACTGTGCATCCGTTCCATCCGGCGCCTGCTGATCGAGACCCCCGCTGATAAAGGCACCGCCCGCGTGCTGTGCGCTGCAGCCCCTGACGCGCAGGAGGCCGCCCCGCTGGCGCAGGCCTGCGAACCGCCGAGTCAGATGTCAAGTCCGGCGTTTGAGGACTTGGGGACTTCCCCAAAGTGCCTTCTGCGGGAAAGGGCCTTGGAGTCGAAAAAGGCGCTAGGCCTTATTGGCTTGGGGCCTTTTACCCTGGATTTCGAGCCCTTTGTTCGGGCATAACACAACACAACAAAAGGTCAAAAGCAAGAGGGATTGAACAAAAACAGGATCTCCTCAAACAGCTCTGGGGAACTGAATGCTCCCCACCTGCGCGGGCGAGAAACTCCTTGCCTGAAACCGGATCAAACCAACCCACAAATTGAACGGCCTAGTTGCTAAAACTAATGTAGTTGAAGGCAGGAAAGCCTACGTACGACTTGCAGTCACCTTTGTCTATGTTTCTTCCATCTGCTCTAGGTGGGAAAGTTTCTTTTTTCGCTGTCCTCATATTCTTCAAACAACGTTCTTGTAGGCATTACCTGACAAGCATTTCTATGCACCCTTGTTAAGCTCAGATGAATACGACGATGGTATTCAGTTCTTAAAGGCGGTCCGACATGAATATACGTTTCAACCAGATCCCTGGACCCCACCTCAATGCCATTGAACCTGAGGGTCCCCCTGACGGGACATATAGTGGCAAAACCCATATTCCCGATTCCAGACCCGTCGCGGCTGGTCAATCAACCAGTCAAAGTATGGCCCGGGACAGCACTTCATGCGGACACGCTGCTCATTCCCAAAGAGCACAAATCACCCCCAAGAGAACAGGCTACGCGAGAGCTTGCTTGGCGTTAGCGCTGGAGGCACTCCGCCACATTGATGTTCCTTCCAAAAACAAGCTGCGTCAGATGGCGTCAAGATCGTAAAGAAGTGCAAGCTCGGGAGCTGACCTGCACCACTGGTTGCAAGTCAGCAAAGAGCAGCCTGTCAAGTGAGAAAAAAAGAACGACGAAGCCAAACATCAATGAAAAGCAGTGGAGCAACACGCTTCTTGTGGGGGAGTTGCTCTCAAGATGTCATTGGCATTGGTATGTACGTCCAGCTCGCATGTCAAACACCCACGCAGCCAAACACAACGTCGTAGATGTTGCTTCGCTTGCTTGACAGGTTTGATGTTTGGCTTGGGCTACCTGTCCAAGGTACACCAGAAGCGGCATCCCAGCACTCCCCGCCTTGCTTCACCAGCAAGCCCCCAGCAGTGAAGGTGGCCATGCAGTTCTCGAAAGAGACGACGCCGCCTTCTTGGTGCATCGTACCCCTCACCTCAGGCGCGAGTTGGGACGTTTGGTTGTCATTTTCCAAGAGTACAGTCCCATTTTTGGGTGTTTTTTTGAGGGGAACAAAAGGAAAACCACCAATTGTGAGGGCTCCCTAGGTTTCTAGGACCAGCTACACAGGCAGAACTCAGAAGTTCCTGATGCAAAGTTGCACGTTCACCTGCAGCATTGGAAGTAAGTTTGGCTAAGCCCAAAGACGCCATCTTTTCACAAGTTCACTGGGCCTGCAAAAAATAGCTTTGCCTTTGCCTTGATGAAACATGGATCAATATGGGGAAGCCAAAAGGTCAGGTGGGCTTTGGGCAAGGAATCCTGCAGCTTGACGCTCACCATGGCCGCGATGCAATGTTGGGCCAGCATATCCCTCCAAGGCCCAAACATGTGGCAACACGTGGTCTCCAAACAGGGAGCCCGAAGTTGTGTTCCCTTTGAGACAACCCCAACAAGGGTATCACGAAAACAAGACATTTCAATGTGAGGGCTATCCCTTTCTGGGGGAACAGCCCCTTTGACATTCTTGAAATTGATTGCGCCTTCTCTACCTTCTCTACTTCTGGTGGCCCTGGGTGGGTCAGACATGTCATTGACGTTTGCAGGCAAGCGGTTTGCCACGGAACTAGCATTGGTCGAGGAGTTGTCCTGGATCACGGTGGGGAAGACGGGGTGAAAGCAGCGATTGAAACAACCGGACCTTGGGCCCCTGTGAACGAACAAACCAGGTTGCGGATTGCCCCATCGTGCAGTGGGATTGTTGGTTGTGTAAACACTGGTTCCATTATGTTCCAATGGCTCCCAACGCTTGCATCTTGGCCACAAAGCCTCAGCTTTGTGCCGAGCCGCATGAATTCGTGGAAAGCCACAAAAAGTGCCCTATTGGAGGGGTTGGTATGCTGCGGTTCTCCCGCAAACTTGCATTGCAAAATGAAACCCAGCCCAGCAAGCCTTTGATTCCGCCCAAATCTTGCAGCTGCAGCACCGCAAGGCCGCCGCCCTCCATGTTGGAGGAGCAGTTTCTGAAGGACATCTCGCCGGCCTTGGAGTCAAGCCTTAAGCCTGTGGATAAACAATGCGGTTTCTGGCGAAAAAGAGATAGTTCAAGGAATTAAACGGGGGTTGCGCAAAATAACTTCTCCTTCCGCGTACTTCCGACGTCCCTTGCAAGTCTACACGCAAGTTATGAAAGGTTTTGGGTCAAGGTTTGCGGTTGACGTGAAGCCTGGAGGAAAGAGTAGCAGCCACAAACCTTTCTTGAAAGGTCAGGAGCTCTCCGAGTCGGCGGAGCTAAAGCTGGAGCTGGTGCCATTAAAGTCGGACAAGGGCATGGACGCAGCCGGCTTTTCGGGAGACCATTGTAAGGAACGGGCTGCTTGGACAAACTCATCTTCCGCGCTTTTCCGCGAAACTTCCGCGACAATTACATCGATTGTTTTCGTTTTTTGTTGAGTCTTGCGACCTGAGCAATCAACGGGAATAGTGCTTGCTGCTGCTTCCTCTGACAACGATCGTCAGGGCGACGGTCACACTCTTCGCGCCGCCTGCCGCGTTTAGAAAGGAGCCTTGAAGAATTTAGTGGCATAGAGCCACCATCTTGCTAAGTCCGGCTGGCATACGATGACTCTAGCTAAGAACCAGTGTGAGATTGTTTTCAATTATGATGCCATTAGCTTTGGAGTCGGCCATGCATGAGCTCCTGCGCGCGCTGACAAGCTCCTTGGCTTGGTCCGTGCGCATTATCTTGAACGCGTCAACCGTGTTAGCGTCGGATCCGTTCATCACGGGAACGGGAGGTAGCATCTGCCTCCCCGTTGATGCTGCGGTCACAAAGGCCCTTCAGAACCATGCGTCAGCGGTGACGAGGTCACGTCGCCACTTGCAACTTCCCTTCTTTCTATAGAGCCGACCGTCTCCGGTTTAGCTCTTTGACAGTGTGAATGGGAGGTGGGTCTTGAGGTGATCAGGGGTCAGAGCATCAGCCAGCCGGCCTGTTTGGTCAGGGGCGTCTGATCCGCGCACCGTGATGGGCGGGATCTTTGCTGTCCGCGAACCCGAGGCCATCGGTTGAACTCGAGGGAGATGAAGTGGCCGGTCACTGTTCGCTGCACGGCTGACAACCTGCGGTTTTGGGAGAAGTGTGGATCACACAGTGCGCAAAGAAGCCGGTGCACACGGCTCAGGAAGCAGTGCTGATGGCCAGGCTGAGGGAGTGACAACTGTAAGAAAGACTTGTTTGGGTACTGAATGGAAAACAGGTTGAAGACGAAGCGAATGCCCAGGACAGGGTAACCACGCAACAACCCACCGCCTACTTCCTAACACCGAACCGCGGCAGCTCTGGGGTCTTTTGTCCAACGATGACACGGCCTGTCGTGTTGTGGATGACACACGTGGGTCCGTAACCTCCCTGTCAGCGTTATGTCACTTGTTGGAAAGCAATTCTCACGTGAACAAAACACAGACAAAATCCACGTGCATCTATCGGCACGGTGGTTTAACCAGTATGAAAGTTCATCCATCCCGACTGTGGATATTGTGCATCCACAGTATAGGATTTATTACCTTCCGATTGAGAAAACCCAATCTTTGAAAACCATCCAACCTCAAAATGTCAGTGCACAAAGCCTCGGAGTTGTGTGGGTGTGTGTGCGCGTTGCGAAGCATGCCCACGCGAGCACGAGTCATCTTCCAGGGAGGATGTTCGATTTATGTGTGTTACGCGAAGCACACTCTGGCAGCTCCAGCTCGATCACCCTTTCAGTGGTGCGAACCCCACATCTGGTGCTGCTGGAAAAGGTGTAGGTAGTGATGCGTTGAACGCCTACAAACGCCTATGCAAACGACGCGGAGCCTACGGGAGAAGCCTACACAGGAGAAACAACAGCCTGCGCTGGCCTGCGCACTGTTAAGTCTGCGCGCTTGCAAATCCCACGCGAGCCTACACCCCTAAGCAGGGTTGCCTCCTATAAATGTCCTCTGACTTGAATACGTTTCTCATGTAAGAAAACCTATGAACACCATTTTTTACGCTAAGAACAAACATGTACTGTGTTGCCAAACGTTGACCCAGGTTCTGTGGTGAGATTCTTGTCGATCTCAACGGCCCCCGGCTTGAAGATCGAGCTAGAGTGACATCCTTGCGGCTGTCGCATCGTTGAACGGAACCCCTCGCTGTCTGGTGGGTGGCGCAACTCAATCGCCTCTTCAAAAGAGCCCAACGAAACCACAACCGCGTAGTCCATCCAAGCTCATCAACACTTGCTTGGAAAACAACATGAAGCCCACAAATCTCCACAAACGAGATTCCTCCCATAAGACAGTGAAACCCAGCAAACATCCCCCGTGAGAACGGCGCACTCGCCGAACAGGCAAACCGCGCAGGCCTCGCACCGCCAGGGCAGCGCCAGCTTCCACCTCGAGGTACCTGAAGCGAAGGCAGGGCTCGCTGAGGCCGTGGGACGTAACCTCCAGGCGCCCGGTAATCCGCACCTCGGTGCGAAACCCACGGGAGTAGATGGAGACTGGATGAGATGTGTCTTTCTGGCAAGATAGAAAAGGGAACCACCCGACGTGTGAAGGTTCCCATCTCACCGAAACTTGTGGACGTGACTACTTGGCCCGGTTCCCGCGCGCTTTGACTCTATGGTTGCCAGGCAGCGTTTCTGCGGAAGCGCAATTGCTCAGACACAAAGATCTCTGCTTTGCC